GGGCTGGAAGGCGGAGGAAGGTCGCGGCCGGGCTCGGCAGCCCCAGAGAGGGAGGAGAGCCCCCCCGGCGGTGGCGGCCTCGGCCTCGTCGAGGGCGGCTGGTTCCGGGAGACGTGCAGCCTCTGGCCCGGGCAGGCCCTCTCCTTGCAAGTGGAAGCCGTCCTCCATCACCAGCGCTCGCCCTTCCAGGAGATCCTGGTCTTCCGCAGGTGGGAGAGGGCGCCGGGGAGGGGAGGGNGACACGTGTCAGGGCCTCCTGTCAAAGGTAGGGGGAGGGAGACCCCCGGGCTTCTGGGTGGGGGCCGTAGCCGTAAAAGACCGCTGCCTGTCGGGGGATTGCATGCAGCCCCATCGCACACACACACTCACACACACACACCTCCTGGACACGTGTCAGGCCCTCCTGTCAAAGGTAGGGGGAGGGAAAGCTCCGGGCTTCTGGGTGGGGGCCATAGCCGTAAAAGACCGATGTCTGTCGGGGGATTGCATGCAGCCCCATCGCCCTTAAAGCGGCTTCATCTCTTGGTCGATCAAGGTTCTAGTCCTCAAGGGTCCTAACAAGAAGCGGACTGGAAGAGGGATTTGCTTTCCTCCATCCCAACCTTAGGAGCTCTTCTTCCCTTTCCCAGAACCTCAAGGCCACCCCACATAAATTGGCAGGCACTGGCCCCCTTCATGAACCGAGTTTCATGCCCTCCACCTTCAGCGGCTCATGCGCTCCGCAATTTTGGAGGGGTGCCTTTCCCAGATCAGCCTGGAGTTGCTGGTAGAAAGGGAGCCTTCCTCTGTTAACATCTGTTTCCTTTTATGCTTTGGTCTGATTTCAATAGCCGGGTGATCCATGCTCGCTTTCCTCCTTTTCTGAGTAAAGGTTCCAGTCCTCAAGATTTTGGGGACACAAAGCAAACTGAAAGAGGAAGGCAGAAGAGTTCAGATGAAATGGATTCTTGGCCCCGATGGCTTAGCATTACTTGTATGGACTGGTGGCAGAATTTGCCTGGGAATAACCATGACTTGATCCTTTAACCTCTGTGTTTGTAAAGAAAGGCCCCTAGCTGGATCTTATCTAAGGAAGCAAAATACTAGTCCTCATGACCCTCAATAAACAGAGGATACAGATAAGATCAGATAGCTAGTGTGCGGTAATAGACTGGGACCCGAGTTCAAATCCCCACTCATGCTTGGAAACTCGCTGTGTGTGTGTACACATGTAAAACTAACATAAAACCACTCCTTTAATACCTCATTTGCCTTGAAAGCCCTGTTAGGGCCAATATAGATCAGATCCAACTTGACAGCATATCATAATAACAGAAATAGGAATGTGGGAACCTTGTTTTCAACATAGCGCCAGAACATTGATCTGTTTGATTCAACGGGTCACATACACAGGAGGAGGTCTTTCTCCAGGATTCATTTTAAGAGTTTTCCTCTTTTTTGGGCCTCTTGAAGTCTGGACCTACGTCTTTCGGAAGGGGAAGCTAAATTTGACAAGCCACAGATCTGTTTTCTCTAAGCCCTGTCTCCCCCCCCCCGGGCGCAAGGTATGCCTGCTTCTGGAGTCCTTTCTCTTAGAGAACTCCCCGCTCGCCACCGATCCTCTCCTGGCGTCTCTTCCTGCCTCTGGTGAATCACGCCCTCGATGTCGCCTTCCCTCCCCCAGGAACTTGTTTCCAACCGGGGGTGGGGGGGGAACAGCTAGGTGCCTCCCAGAAACCCACATGCTGCGCGCACGCAAGTCCCATTACTCTGTGGTTCATCCTGCAGCCAGCAAAGTCTGGAGGCTGCAGGTTACACAACCACCTTGTTTGTCGGCCGGAGGTTGAGAGTTCGAATCCCCCACTGGGCCTCCTTGACAGGGGCTGGAGACTTGATGATCTATAGGGTCCTTTCTAGCTCTACTCTTCTGTGATGATGATGGCAGTGCTTTCTTCCCTTTGCTCAGGTGCTCATTATCGGTGGTGGGGACGGAGGCGTCTTACGGGAGGTGGTGAAGCACCCTTCGGTGGAGTCAGTAATACAGTGTGAAATTGACGAGGTACCCCTTCTGTCTCTCACTTTCCCCTCTCGTGTGTGTGTGTGTGTGTGATCGGATGAAAATCAGAAGAGTCTTCTCCTGAAATCCAGTTGTGGCGCACTGCATAGAGAACACAGGAATGAGGAAATCCGAGTCGGGCTTCCCATGGAATTGGGGGTAGCTTTTGAGTGTGTGAGAGAGAAAGAGACTGTGTTCCTCTCGTGATGGGTTTCTGGCTTTGAGCCGCCTGCGGAATTATCTTGTAGACTCGTCCAAGATTGGGTGGAGGAGGAAGTGGAGAATTAACTTCTGCCTGGAGGGCAGGAAGGTGTGTGTTTTCTCTACAAATCTTGCAGGAAGAGGGAGGTGTGTGTGTGTGTGTGTATTTGTTTCTACAAGTCTGGCAGCTGGAAGACAAGGAGTTTTGCTTGGAACAGTGCGTTCTTTGGGGAAAACCTGTTTCTTGACGGAACACACACACACACACAATGCCAGTTGAGAAAAAAAAACGAGGTCCTGAGGCCTGGGAAGGGTCTGTTCTTTGAGGAAAAAAAACAAGGTCCTGAGGCCTGGGAAGGGTCTGTTCTGGATTTCCTCTCCCAAGGCTTTTGAAATATCACCGGTTTGCAAGCTGCTCACCCTCTGGGAGGCAGAAGGAGAGCAAAGCAATCCACTGGATCGAGATCCAGAAAACCCAGACGTATTGAGTTCATGTTATGAATATTGAAAGCTTTCTTTCTTGACAATCTTTTCCAATAAGAGTCTGATCAAGTCTTCAGGGTTAAAAGTTAGTATTAGCATGCCTGAAAGCCCGGAAATATTATCGGAAACCAGCATCATATGGTGTAGTGAGCCGAGTTTAAGAGATCTGGTTTCTAGTCCTCAGTGAGGCCTGAAAGCTGACTTGACTTTTAAAGGTTTTAACCAAAGAGAAACTTTCTTAGTTCTGCTGAGTTGGAAGGTGGAGGCACCAAATTAAATCAGGCCTGGTATGATGCAGAGAAAACCAACATTTTGGTTAACAGAAATAACAGTAAAGTAAAGGGCAACCCACAGTCTGTCCAGCTAAGTCTGAGGTTATGCGAAACAGCTTTCTGTGTTCATATTTAAGCCAAACTTTTGTTTATAACAATGAGGACTAGAATCTCAGTTTTCTTTTAGAAGAAAAATTAGAGGCTTTTGGTGAAGTGTGTGATTTATATACAGAAGATAAAAAATAATTAGATAAGGGTTTGTATGCTTGTTTTTTCAATTAAGGGCCTAGGTTAAATCTTTCATACTACCAGGTAGGGTTAAGAAAGATCATGGTTTCGAACCCTGGACTGCTGCTGCCATCCAGTGTCATCCACAGCAGGCTAGAAACTCAAAACACCCCTGAGAGAGTGAGTCTTCTCTCTGCTGTGGTAGCCCAATGGGCCTGCTTCGTTTCTTTACTTCTCCTGTGTCAGTAAATGAATCGCATGTTGCAGGATGTGATCCAGGCGTCCAAGAAATTTCTCCCGGGAATGGCGGTGGGATACTCAAGCCCCAAGCTCACCTTACACGTCGGGGACGGCTTTGAGTTCATGAAGGAGAATCAAGAGGCGTTTGACGTCATCATCACTGACTCCTCAGACCCCATGGGTGAGTGTTAGGGAGTCCTCCCAACCCTCAGCTGGGCTGGTTCTGGTGTGGGAGGTGCCCCTCGGGCCATCCTGGCTCATAACCCTCCCTGGGCCTAATCTCTGTGAATTTATGCAGCCTCCCTTAAAAAAAAAACAGATAGTCGCTGTCGCAACTTCCTGGTGGCAGTGAGTTCCACTGTTTCTGTTCTGCGCTGCACAAAAACGTCCCTCCCTTTGTCCATGGTGCCTCCACCATTCAGCATCATGGGGTGATCCCTAGCGCATTACTCTTACAAAGAAGAAATGGGTATTCCCCCCCCCATCTAGTCTCCTTAAATTGTGTAAAATATCCGTTCCGCCCTTCCTCCCCCAAACTCAATGACTTCGATTCGTAATACGTTCTGAGAACCACATGTTTGTCAGCCTAAATATTCCTCCTGAGGACCAAAATGCCTGGCCTTTCGCTTTAAAAAAAGAAGAAAAGTCATACCCCTTCCTTCCTTCCAGGTCCTGCTGAAAGTTTGTTCAAGGAGTCTTACTATCAGCTGATGAAGACGGCACTGCGGGAAGATGGCATTCTGTGCTGCCAGGGTAAGGGGGCTTTTCTTTCCTTGGGGGGGCGTTGCTAGATGGCCCGTGCTCCAGTGGGTTGCAGTGAACAGCCTGGAATTCAGTTCCTTTAGGGAAGTAAACTAGAAGACCTCTGGGGGTCCCTCCTTTTTCCTCCACAATTCTGCCGTTCTCAGCTTGCCTCCTGGTGCTTTACGGGCAAAGCCGCCCCAGATTTGGGAATCGGGATTAATGCTTTTCTTTAAAAAAAAAACAATTTGCTTTTCTGAACATTTTCACTTGGACAGGGGAATGCCAGTGGTTGCACCTCGACCTGATTAAGGAAATGCGTCAGTTCTGCAAATCTTTGTTCCCGGTGGTGGAGTACGCCTTCTGCACCATCCCGACCTACCCGAGCGGGCAAATTGGCTTCATGCTTTGTAGCAAGAATCCGGTAAGGAACTTGGACCGTCTTTGGCTGCTTTAGCCCGGATGTGAGAGTGGGTGGACAAGTGGGTGCAGAGTTGCCGTAAGATTTTCAGAATTCATGGGCCAGTGCTCACCAATGTCTGTAGGAATTCCCCCAGCCAGAAGAACAAACAAACCCCAGTCCTTTTGTGTGTCTGTAATCACTTTCAGTTGAGAAATAATGGCTTGTTTTAGGCATGATGAAGACGGAGGAAGAGGCTAGGCAGCACCAAGTTCAATGTGAGCTGCAAGGCATTATAGGAGTCTCTAGGAGTCTCCTTGTCTCTCATGGTGCTTATAGAGTGCTGCTCAGGAGACTACCAGACCCATGATGCCTTGCAGCTCCCATCAAAAATAGCCCCACCGAGCCACTTCCTCCATCTTATTTTAGAAGGGTGGAGGAGGAATGTGGGCATTTCTGGTAGCCCATGAACAAACATACGGTTGGTGTAGGTTTGGTATGTTTTATCCCTCCTCTTCCCGCAGAATACAAACTTCAGGGAACCGGTCCAGCTGTTGTCCCAAGAGAAAGTGGACATGATGAACCTTAAGTATTACAACTCAGAGATCCACCGGGCAGCTTTCGTCCTGCCGGAATTTGCACGAAAGGTGGGCCAGAGGATTGCATGGTGCATTGCTTGACTTTTTAAAAATTATTATTATTAAGTTTCCTACACAATTCCTACTGGGTTCCTCCTAGGAGGGGGGTGGAAATTTCCCCCAGATGATGGTGGGGTGAACTTGGAGATCATCCTATCAAAGACCTTTCTCCATCTTCCAGGAGGTGGCGCCCAAGCTTGCCAAGTTACTTTTTCAAAATATCTCTGCCCTTTTGGGTGTCTCTCCCTCCGTTCAGCTCCCAGATGATGAGCGTGGACAATGGGAGCCAGAGAGGCGGGGAGCTACAACCACAGGCTCAGTGGCTAAGCTAACATCCCAAATCTCAGAGATTAATAACAGCCCTCCTCAAAGTATCGACTGAGAAGGATGGGATCTGTTGTCCCAACCCATCAAGAGTGCTCTGGTGTGCCTAAATCATGATTTGTGGCCTTTTCCACCCTCACCGCATATTAAAGAAGGAACACGTGATGGCTTTAAAATTATCTGATGGAATTGTTTGTATGTATCCCAGCCTAGGATTTTGGTCCAGGGCTTCCTGGTCGTTCACTCTCCTTTTAAACAGTTTTTTCCCTCCCCTCTCTGGCTTCTTTCCTCTCCAGGCCCTGAGTACCGTGTGAGGAACAGCCAACGGGTGGCTTCGCCTCTCGCCTCGGACCCCCGGGGGGGGGATCTTGAAGTGACCACGTCAATGTAGCGGATTCCCTCTCGTGGGCAGTCAGTATGGGGCCACATCCTGTTCTCTGCCTGGGGGTCCCAGCCGGCCCCCGTTTTTTTGTTTTGGTTTTTTTTACCAGCTAAACATTCCTTCCAATTATGTATTTAAAAACGAAGAAGAGGCTGTCTGGGTTTTACGCCCGATTGGAGCCGCCAGAAAGGAACAAAAGAAGATGAATCGGGTCCAGCCCCGTTACTCAGTGCTCGAACCTGCCTTTCCAGAACTTGACTGACACTGAAAAACAGGGCCTCGGGCCTTCCTTTGCAAAGCCTCTCCACTCCAAAGTCCTGTATTTATAACTGGCAATGTATTTTTTTCCACCCTATTGTCTGTTTCCCCCCCATTCAGGAAGGGTTGCTTGCTTCCTCTGCCCTGCAGTTTGGTGGAAGGGGCTAATGGAGGGTTGGTTTGGCAAGCCCCAAATCCCCAAATAACTCATTTTTTCGCTGCTCGTTCGCTCTTTTCCTGCCCCGTTCCTCTCTCCTTTTACAGGACAATCTGATCTCTTGCCCCTTTTCTCTTCCGCGCTCATCTCTGAACTTGTCCGGCCATTTGCCTTCTGCAACACCCCCAAGCTTTTGACTCTGATTTAGCTCGCTCTTGGGAATATTGCTTGTGAATTTTTAGTTTTCCAGGCTTAAAAAGGGTAATTGTTTATATAGCCTCTTAGCAGCCAGGGAAGGTATCCCTATCGTGAAATGAAATTTTTGTCCTTAGAGAATCGTTGCCTCTGTTTTTTATTTTTATTTTTAAACCTCATCTGCAAGAGGGGGGGGGACAGAAGTAAAGACGTCTGTCAGAGCTGAGTCTCCCTCTCTGCAACTTCGTTAAGCCCAAACAGACAAGAAGCGGCATTATAGTGGGATTACAGTGCCTGGAAGATTTCTTTTTTAAAAAATTAAAATTGCCTGTATTGTAGCCTTTCTCCACTCAGCATCTTCTGGAAGGATTGGAACTCTATCATCCCCAATCACTGTGGCAAGGATGATGAGGGACATCATCCAACTCTTCCAGGGACCACCAGCCTCGAAACCCAGCAGCAAATCCTGGGCAGAATTGGCCCACAGAATGAACAGCTAAATGGTCAGCTTTAACTTCTATAAATCCCACCGATTAAATGGGTCTGCTCTAAGCAGGGCGTCCAGTTGGATTTTGGCCTACGTTTGTTGCTGCTTATAGGTCAAAGAATCTTTTTTTAAATTAAACCTACAGCCTTCATTGGGATCGGTTCTGTTCAGACTGGAATTTGTACGTGTGCAGAGGTCCACATCATGAGAATCTCAGTAACCATTCTCTGTGTGTGTGTGTTTCCTTCTTTCCTTGGCAATGCTGGCTGCCTTGTGGTGGGGTAGGGTGGAGTGGGGAGTCACCCCTTTTATTTATTTGTTTATTTATTTAAAATACTGTGTCTCTCTAGCCTGGCACAAGATGCAGGCCTTCACACTGCTGGCATTTGGAGACAGGAAGGAAGTACTGGGCGGCCTTCTCAAAATCGGTTCAGTTCCCAAAAAGGCAGACTCCGTGGGCTAAGCTGAAATCCGCCAGCACCCATAAGCTAAGTTAAAATCCACCAGGTTAGCTAAAATAAACAGTCCGACACGAATTGCCCAATGTCGCCTCATATTGCGGGGGGCCAACCCTCTGGAGCAGGGCGTCAAGAGAGAGTCCAGGTTGGGCAGAAGGGGCCAAACTGGTCATCGTGTGGGTCCTACGCCGCCCTGTCTCTGATGGGATCTCTAGAACTGCCAAAGAACGTGGAGGGGAGGAATTCTTTCATAGACCCCTGAAACCCCACCCCCCAAAAAAGGAGTCAAAGAATTTCGTTGGACCAGAGTTTATTTGTGAGCCAAATCTTTGTGATCTCAAATAGGGTCTTCCACGGTGAGGGAGAGGAGCGGTTTCAACTGAAGGAAGCGTGGGGCCCAGGGGTGGCCCCGCCGGGATAACAAGGGACCCAATCCTGGACATCTGGATCATACACCTGGCAACCTACAAAATGCCACGCGTGGTCGCCGACGGCTCCTCCCGTGGGGTCCTGCTGTGGGTTAGAAAGAGAAGAGAAGCTGCTGGAGAGCTGAGCGGTTCAGGCCTCTCTCTGCGGAGCCAGAAGTTGAGAGTTCGAATCCTCACTGTGGCTCTGACGGGCTTGATAGTCTATCTAGCATCTCCTTCCAGCTCTGGAGTTCTAAGATAATGATTATTAAGAAGACCGTCCCCCATTTCATCCCTGGGGGAGCTGAGAAAACCTCCATGTCACCCCATTCTGGATCCGTCAACCTGGCATCTCGAGGAAAAAGGTTTAGAGGGGGTGGAATCTTTTAGTTTATCTTTAGGTTCCTTCACTCTTTCCAGGATCACCCAGAGGAAAATCGTGCCTAGCCTCCTATCAGGATCCAGGCAGATCTATCTCACTATCACGTTTTTCTGAGTCTTCAAGGGGTGGGACGCGTCCTGTGGTCGACAGCCAAGAGAAAAGAGACGAGGTGGCCACTTCCGTGCTTCGGGAGGTAGCTCACCCATACACACTCACCATAAGAGTTTTATGACATGGCTACTGGGTGATCTGGCGCAGGCCGGTATGTAATTGGATTATCCTTCCCAATACTTTTATTGAATCTTTTCGTGAAAGCCCAAACGAGGAGTCCAAGGTCGACGTTCCTCTTAGCTTTGAGGGTGTCTTTCCTGAACCGTCGGGACCACAGGTGGGTAGATCTCTGTGGGTGGCAAATAGGAGAAGACTTACATTGCGACCCTCTTGTCTGGCTCCCATCGCCTAGCCCACGCTCAAGAGTAGAATCACGGCATTTCCGTTCTTTAATTCACCCATCTAGCCATAAAACACTCTGGGTGATTTACATCGTGGCGTAAACATAACTTCGACATAATAGGACCTAACAGAATATCATAACATTTGGACATCTGAACACTTCAAATCTAAGGATCTTAATCCACACGTTAAATGCAACCTGGGTAGCCTTATTCACTCAATACATTCAACGTAGCCTCTTAATATACGTGAACTGTTGCATCGTTTTTCTGTCAAACTATGAAAATCATAGAGGTCTCAGCTTCAACATCATTTATGTAGGCGCCACAGCTCTCAGAGAGCCAGAGAGTGGTGTAATGTTGAGAATGAAATCTCGGGACTAGGGAAACCCGGGTTCTAATTCTGCCTTAGCGACAAAGCTTACTTGGTGTCTTGGGTGAATCAGTGCCTCTCAGGCAAACTATACCATAAAAGTACGTAGGACAGATCCCTAAGATCTTAAGCAAGGGCACTGCCAATCCAGCAACAGATGGATAGTTGGGAGAGAAGGAAAACATCCTTTGAGTTGACTTGGTCCTTTACCGGATATGGCAGTCTCACGAAGAAGTAGCATTCCTTCTCTACTCACCAAGTCAGCGGAGTCCTTCATCCCCGACACTTCTTCGGTGGCCATCATAGACCAAATCAGCACCATGAGGGCGAGCAAGGTCAAGTTGACCTTCATGTTGGCTTGATGAGAAGGTGGCCTTCCATGCGTTGGCCACTGTTCCCTTGATGTCCTCTGAGTCTTGATTCTTCTCTTTATATATAATTCCGGAGCTGGGATGGGACTAGATTCATGCTGATTCACATCCTACCAGGGACTATTGGGTTCATTAGGCTTAACGACCACAGAGAAGGAAGAAAATTAATGGGGAGTCCATTTTTTCATTATGAACGGTCTGTTGACATGTCTTCGTTTTCCTCCCTTAGCTTCAATGGACCTGGGTTCATGATTAGTCTTATGATAAGGTATGTCTTTATAAGAACGACTCGAGTCCTTGATTCTAAAGACCATAGAGAAGGAATACTATTGTCTTGATTAGCCATCTCAGGACTTACCGATTAGCTACCTGATGGGGTGTACGTTATAAGGAACCATTTGGGTCATTAGGCTTAATTGCCATAGGCAAGGAAGACTATTCATGAGCAGCCCATGGACCCTTATCCATGGGTCCTAGTTGCCAACGCGTCTTGACTTGAATCCAATGTCCACACAACCTCTCTGGCCACAAAAGCCTACTTTGACCACATGGGGGTCACCATGCCAGACCAGAGCTTCTTGGATGCCCAGAGCTTTCTAGACTAAGGGAGACCAGATCCTTGGGGCAGATCCTGACCTCACACAAGATGCCCAGGTTTTGTTCTGCTGCCATGGTGGTGGTTGCGGTTGTGTTGGTTGTGTCCTGCATTGCAATCATGTACAGAACTAGATAGACTTGTTTAATAGCCTACGTTCTTTTTTTCTAGAAAAAGCTTAGAACAGAATTAATGGACTGAGATACAAACTATAGTTGAGACACCTTTGATTGAGGCTCTTTTTCCTACATAAGAGTGTATTGATTTTATTATTCCCCAATTTCTGTTATCTACAAAAAGTGGGCCGTGTAGAGGCGCAATGCGCCCCCAGACCGAAAATACTGTCCTGGGGGAGGTTTTGATCCTCCTTGTGTTTGGGTCTGTATTGTAGCCTTTCTCCACTCAGCATCTTCTGGAAGGATTGGAACTCTATCATCCCCAATCACTGTGGCAAGGATGATGAGGGACATCATCCAACTCTTCCAGGGACCACCAGCCTCGAAACCCAGCAGCAAATCCTGGGCAGAATTGGCCCACAGAATGAACAGCTAAATGGTCAGCTTTAACTTCTATAAATCCCACCGATTAAATGGGTCTGCTCTAAGCAGGGCGTCCAGTTGGATTTTGGCCTACGTTTGTTGCTGCTTATAGGTCAAAGAATCTTTTTTTTAATTAAACCTGCAGCCTTCTTTGGGATCTGTTCTGTTCAGACTGGAATTTGTACGTGTCCAGAGGTCCACATCATGAGAAATTCAGTAACCCTTCTCTGTGTGTGTGTGTGTGTGTGTGTTTCTTTCTTTCCTTGGCAATGCTGGCTGCCTTGGGGTGGGGTGGGGTGGGGGGGAGTCACCCCTTTTATTTATTTGTTTATTTATTTAAAATACTGTGTCTCTCTAGCCTGGCACAAGATGCAGGCTTTCACACTGCTGGCATTTGGAGACAGGAAGTACTGGGCGGCCTTCTCAAAATCGGTTCAGTTCCCAAAAAGGCAGACTCCGTGGGCTAAGCTGAAATCCGCCAGCACCCGTAAGCAAAGTTAAAATCCACCAGCTTAGCTAAGATAAACAGTCCAACACGAATTGTCCAATGTCGCCTCATATTGCGGGGGGCCAACCCTCTGGAGCAGGGCGTCAAGAGAGAGTCCAGGTTGGGCAGAAGGGGCCAAACTGGTCATCGTGTGGGTCCTACGCCGCCCTGTCTCTGATGGGATCTCTAGAACTGCCAAAGAACGTGGAGGGGAGGATTTCTTTCATAGACCTCTGAACCACCACCCCCAAAAAAAGGAGTCAAAGCATTTCATTGGACTAGAGTTTATTTGTGAACCAAATGTGTGTGATCTCAATTAGGGTCTCCCACGGTGAGGGAGAGGAGAGGTTTCAACCGAAGGAAGCATGGGGCCCAGGGGTGACCCCACCAGGATAGCTCTGGAAGAAGCAGCAGGCAGGTGGACCAGGGAGGGGGAATCTTCTCTCAGGCTGGAGAAAAAGGTCCCGCCAGCGGATGCTAACAAGGGACCCAATCCTGGACATCTGGATCATACACCTGGCAACCTACAAAATGCCACGCGTGGTCGCCGACGGCTCCTCCCGTGGGGTCCCGCTGTGGGTTAGAAAGAGAAGAGAAGCTGCTGGAGAGCTGAGCGGTTCAGGCCTCTCTCTGCGGAGCCAGAAGTTGAGAGTTCGAATCCTCACTGTGGCTCTGACAGGCTTGATGGTCTATCTAGCATCTCCTTCCAGCTCTGGAGTTCTAAGATAATGATTATTGAGAAGACCATCCCCCATTCCATCCCCGGGGGAAGCTGAGAAACCTCCATGTCGCCCCATTCTGGATCCGTCAACCTGACTTCTCAAGGAAAAAGGTTTAGAGGGGGTGGAATCTTTTACTTTATCTTTAGGTTCCTTCACTCTTTCCAGGATCACCCAGAGGAAAATCGTGCCTAGCCTCCTATCAGGATCCAGGCAGATCTATCTCACGATCACGTTTTTTTGAGTCTTCAAGGGGTGGGACGCGTCCCGTGGCCGACGGCCAAGAGAAAAGAGACGAGGTGGCCACTTCCGTGCTTCGGGAGGTAGCTCACCCATACACACTCACCATAAGAGTTTTATGACCTGAGTGATAGGTAATCTGGTGCAGGCCGGAATATAATGCTGCTAGCCTTCGCAATATTATTATTGGATCTTTTCTTCAAAGCCCAAGCAACGAGTCCATGGTCGATGTTCCTCTTAGCTTTGAGGGTGTCTTTCCTGAACCGTCGGGACCACAGGTGGGTAGATCTCTGTGGATGGCAAATAGGAGAGGACTTACATTGCGACCCTCTTGTCTGGCTCCCATCGCCTAGCCCACGCTCGAGAGTAGAATCACTGCATTTCAGTTCTTTAATTCACCCATCTATCTATCCAAAAACCACTCTGGGTGATTTACGTTGTGGCATAAAACAAGAAAAACATCACATAAACTTAACTTTGACATAATAGGACCTAACAGAATATCATAACATTTGGACATCTGAACACTTCAAATCTAAGGATCTTAATCCACACGTTAAATGCAACCTGGGTAGCCTTATTCACTCAATACATTCAACGTAGCCTCTTAATATACGTGAACTGTTGCATCGTTTTTCTATCAAACTATAAAAATCATAGAGGTCTCAGCTTCAACATCATTTATGTAGGCGCCACAGCTCTCAGAGAGCCAGAGAGTGGTGTAATGTTGAGAATGAAATCTCGGGACTAGGGAAACCCGGGTTCGAATTCTGCCTTAGCGACAAAGCTTACTTGGTGTCTTGGGTGAATCAGTGCCTCTCAGGCAAACTATACCATAAAAGTATGTAGGACAGATCCCTCAGATCTTAAGCAAGGGCACTGCCAATCCAGCAACAGATGGATAGTTGGGAGAGAAGGAAAACATCCTTTGAGTTGACTTGGTCCTTTACTGGATATGGCAGTCTTACGAAGAAGTAGCATTCCTTCTCTACTCACCAAGTCAGCGGAGTCCTTCATCCCCGACACTTCTTCGGTGGCCATCATAGACCAAATCACTGATTCACATCCTACCAGGGACTATTGGGCTCATTAGGCTTAACGACCACAGAGAAGGAAGAAAATTAATGGGGAGTCCATTTTTTCACTATGAACGGTCTGTTGACATGTCTTCGTTTTCCTCCCTTAGCTTCAATGGACCTGGGTTCATGATTAGTCTTATGATAAGGTATGTCTTTATAAGAACGACTCGAGTCCTTGATTCTAAAGACCATAGAGAAGGAATACTATTGTCTTGATTAGCCATCTCAGGACTACCGATTAGCTACCTGATGGGGTGTATGTTATTAGGAACCATTTGGGTCATTAGGCTTAATTGCTATAGGCAAGGAAGAGAATTCATGAGCAGCCCATGGACCCTTATCCATGGGTCCTAGTTGCCAACGCGTCTTGACTTGAATCCAATGTCCACACAACATCTCTGGCCACAAAAGCCCACTTTAACTACATGAGGGTCACCATGCCAGACCAGAGCTTCCCGGATGCCCAGAGCTTTCTAGACTAAGAGAGACCAGATCCTTGGGGCAGATCCTGGTCTCACACAAGACACCCTGCGGTTGTTCTGCTGGCTTGGGGCAGATCCTGGTCCCACACAAGACACCCTGCGGTTGTTCTGCTGCCATGGTGGTGGTTGCAGTTGAGGTGGTTGTGCCCTGCATTGCAACCATGTACAGAACTAGATGGATTTGTTCAATAGTCCACATTCTTTTTTTTTCTGGAAAAAGCTTAGAATGGAATTAATGGACTATAGTTGAGACACCTTTGGTTGAGGCTCTTTTTCCTACATAAGAGTGTATTGATTTTATTTTCCCCCAATTTCTGTTATCCACAAAAAGTGGGCTGTGTCGAGGTGCAATGCCCCCCAGACAGAATGTACCATCCTGGGGGAGGTTTTGATCCTCCTTGTGTTTGGGTTTACAGCTTCAGTAAAACTCAACCCTCACGGGGCCAAGAAAAGCATCTACCCAGCCATTTGGAATGCTTTGTTTCTGTTTTCTGTCTCAACATTATAAACAACAACATTGGCCAACAACCCCTTTCAAATCTCAACTGATGTGTAGACCCATTGACTCATCAGGATTCATGTAAAACTCAGCTTGTATTCAGCAACAGATTCAGTGGCTCTACTCTTTAGTCGGGATGAGCCATGGAACACTGGTCAACGTAGCTTACATTCCAGTATTGTTTGTGTTTCACTGAGTGTTCCCTCGTGATTGTAGGGTGGCTTGTAGCCATCTCCTGTGTAACAACCAGGCATTTTTCCAACGTTTGACTTCACACCCCACACCAAAATGTCTTGCAATACCCTTTTCATGACACTGTAAAGCCCTCCAGTGAACGTAGACCTCTTGCTATGGTTCATGTTTGGTCTACTGGTGGGAGATCCATGCTGATGAAAAATGAATGCTATGATATTAAGCCAGAAAACCCACTGAAAGAGCTTTATTTTTCAACTAGAACCCTGACCTCCGAGGCTCCAAGCTGGAGCCCATCCACAGGACAAGAAACCAAGACATGATTTTTAAAGAGAATGCGTCTGGTTTCCTAACGACCTTATTTTCCCAGTGAATGGCAGGGTTCTCATACATATCTGATGCTTGGAGTCACAGCTTGATATGTCAAATGTTTAAGGTGTTTCCTTCCAAGTAGAAATATAGCACTTTAAGGCTTGTTTGAATGTTTCTGGGTCTATTAGCATTTCCTTGTGCAAGGTGGGCCGAACTGAAAGAGGAGAAAATGTGTGAGCATGCACTTTGTTCAAAATAAAACTAATAATAATAATAACTCACTGGCCTTTGTGTTTTCTTGGGGGCAAGCACCTGGTTTCCCCAGGTTTCTCTCCAACCCTCTAACCACTGTGTAAAACTGTCCATCTCTACACTGCACGGGCTGCACACCCCATTCCACTCAAACCCACTGGCCCCCATCGAAAAGAAATATATAAGAGCGGGACATCATTTTAGCCAAGCTTTATTTGCTGAAGGACTCCTACGAGCAGGATCTGGAATAAGGCTAGGTTCCTGCAAATTTGGGTCTTGTAGGTGTGATTCCAGGAGAATTCAAAGTTGGCCATGCCCCCAACCCATGGCCCTCAAGGTTGATTTCATGCCATGGCTATCGGGTGGTCTTCTGCAGGCTGGTAGATAAATTCCTTGGGCTGAGCATCCCTTCTGGACTCCGCGTGGCGTTTTGGGGACGAACGGATCTGGTTATATAATGCGTCCTGATGACAGCAAGAGAACAGAGATCAAAACTCATCGTTTGAACCCGACCACCGACTCTGATAGTTAAGCGAATGAACACTTTCACTTCCGAGAAGATCGGCAAAGGGGCATCACCTTAAAGACTATGGCTTAACTTGAACTGGAGTAGACCCATGGAGTCTGTTGCTGAACGGTAAGCCAACCCTTAATGGGGTGGATAACTCAGTGAGTTGGAGATCCGGCTGTGGAGCCAGAGGTTGGGAAGTTAATTCCCCACCGTGCCTCCAGGGAGAACAGCCAGCCTGGGTAGTCTTGGGCAAGCTGGGCGGTCCCAAAGCCCATACATACCCTCCAGACGAAAGGGATGGCAAACCGCTTCTGAGTACTCTATAACCAGAAAACCATGCAAAGTGTTATTATAAGTTGGAATGGACTCAACAGCAAGTACTAAATCCCATTGACTCTGTGAGTCTACTCAAGATGTAATTAGCACTTGAATTTAAGCCTCTAAGCGGGATCCAGATTTTGGTCCCAAAGGCCATACATACCCTCCAGACGAAAGGGATGGCAAACCGCTTCTGAGTACTCTATAACCAGAAAACCATGCAAAGTGTTATTATAAGTTGGAATGGACTCAACAGCAAGTACTAAATCCCATTGACTCTGTGAGTCTACTCAAGATGTAATTAGCACTTGAATTTAAGCCTCTAAGCGGGATCCAGATTTAATCCATGGACTCAACATTGAGTCAAGTCAACCACTTTTGTGTTTACAGGCAGAGAACGAAAGAGGACGGAAATCCACTGCCCATATTTACCGATTCCCAATTGAAGCCCTTCACCAAAGCTGGAATGTTATAATGAAGAGAGAGAATAATGAACTCGTGACTCTTTTTTGCCCCATGTGGACGATACATAAACAACCTCATCAAGATCAAAGCAGGAAATGCTAAGCCAACATCAGTGGTGTTATGAGGCTGGCCAGTTTGATACAAGATGTTTCACCAGGAGGCTCAAATCCCAGAGAGATTTACTCACCACGCTGATCTCAGCCAACGTCTCCTCAACCGCGGTCATCGTCCCAATCACCAGTAAAACGGCAAAAACACTGGCTGAGAGCTTCATGTTGCCTTCACGATGGAATGGCTTTCTGGGTTGACTAAGTTGGAGAATTCTTATTTGAGGTTTACTCTGTTCCAAGGGTTGCTTTGATCCTCTTTATATGGACCTCCCGGCCTCAACAGGAAAGAATCAGGGTTCGCAACCAACAATCCAGATGGATGCATCCCAAGGAACAATGTGTGCCAAAGGGTTTTATTGTTATTGGCCGAAGCGGGGAGGGGATGGAGGGCTAATGGGTACTCCTTCGTTCACCGCTCTTGGTTGCCAGTTTTGTAGCTTCACGGCAAGTGAAGCAAATAAACCAAAGCTAGGGGTGGAGGGGATGTTTTTTGTTTTTTGCTAAAATAAGCGCATCCTTGTAGTACGGTATGTAAAGTTGGTAGGGAGGGAGCAAGAGGTTGATCGTAGTGAGACACTGCAGGTTTTCCTGCCCTTTGCAAAGAACAAAGTTTGTTGATCTTTCTTCTACATTTGCAATAGCGGATCAGCTGGAAGGGCACCTCTGTGTTGGCCTTCCGTGTCTTCACAAACAAGGAAGCCGGTGTCACTCAATTTCCATTCTTAAGTCAAAGTTTTAGTTTGTGTTTATTTCCCTCAGAATGGATTTCTTGGGGCAAAAGAAGTACAGTATTTTCTTTTACATGATCCTGTGAATAACTCAAGTGATGACTCTAAACTCAGCTAAAGTATCAGCTGTGGTGCTGGAGGAGAGCTTTGCGGGTGCCCTGGGCCCCCAGAAAGATTGACAAGTGGGTCCTAGATCAACTCAAGCCTGAACCCTCTCTAGAGGCAAAAATGTCAAAACTCAGGCTGTCCTGCTTCGGGCACATCAGAATAAGGCAGGATTCTCTGGAAAAGACAATAATGCTGGGAAAGGTGGAAAAGAGGAAGACTCAATACAAGATGGACTGACTCCTTAAAAGAGCCCACAGGCTTCAGTTTACAGGGCTGTTGAGGACGTGACATTCATGGTGTCACCATAAATCAAGGGCGACTTGACAACACGTAGATTCATAGAATCATTGAGTTGGAAAGGGCCTATAAAGCCATCAGGTGGAAACCCCCCCCCCCGCTCAACGAAACAACAACAAAGTAGGTATAAGCTCATCTTATTGCTCCACACACACTGCTAACAGAATTGCTGCAAATACCAGCTGTTGCCACAGGATTAAACCCACCAAACTTTCTGGCGGGGAAACCAACCCCGGACCCACCAAGTTAACCGCTCCTGCTGCTTGACAACTGACGTCTCAAACACCCAGAAATGTGCAGCAGATGGAGGCCCACCCGTTGAGGTCAAGCTGCGTGGAAAGTTTCCAGCCCTCCTTAAGGAAAGATGACGGGTGGCCCTTCCGTTTCTCTTGTTCTGTGACAGCAGCTCTGGTGGTTGCATCCTGCAAACCTGAGTATCCTTGTGCCCGAGAAGAGGATGATCAGGCCAGAGGTGGGATTCAGCAGGTTCGCACGGGCTTTGCCTTCATGGCAGGTGGGGGGGGGCTGCCTTCGCATCTTTATGGCACAGAGAGAAGTTCATGGAAGGGGCGGGCCTCTCGGGAGACAAGGAACCTGGCAGGGTTTGCGGGCCGCCCTGTGGACAAAGGGAAAAAAAAGCAAGATAATGAACCGAGCAGCCATTCCTTTTCCTCCTGCGCCGTATTATTCACTCAACCTTTT